TTCAGCAGACTCAACAGTTTTGCAACCGTTTTATGATTGTCTGCTGAGATAGGACCATTCTTCTAGATCTAAAAGTATGATCCAATCAGCTCGAAGGAAACTTCCAACAGTTGCAAAACGAACGTTCTGCTGAACGCAGCCATCGTCTTAAGACGGCTAAGCATGCTAATGCGGCCTTCTGATTGGTTCGTGACACCTCAAGGCTGAACTTAAAACGATTTTGAATATAAGCACTACAGTAGCGCAACTCTCACGATTTCACCGTGGATAAAAATGAACTGCACATGCGCGAGCGAGGTATGTAACCAATCAGGGCACTGATATTCCATCTCGCTTCTTCTCTTTGACGCTGTCTGTTTGCATCGTTGAAATGTCCATATAAGGGATTTAAATAGTCATTTAAAGGAAAGTGACAAGAGTATATATTATATGAGAAATAATAAAGTGATACGTGTGATAAAGTGATTAAGTGATTAAGTGATTAAGTGATGTGTTTAGTTATAAGTATTCAGTGAATATTTATAACTAAAAAAGTTTAGTGTTCAATAAAGTGCTTAGATTCGACGTATCTAGGAAGCAGAAAAAAACAGGTAAAGGCCGAATTTCTTTACGGAGAAGTTTATCTGTACAAAAATTATACAGATTTTTTATTTTCTTGAAGCACTTTGATTTTAGCTTTGTGTTGCAGATATTATTTTGAGAAAACATCATAAAGGATGGAAAAGAGGTTAGCCCAGAAATCAAACGGATGGTGTGTTGTCAAGGAATGTAATAAAAATAATGTGGAAAAACGACACTTGTTTCGGTTTCCAAAGGAACGTGACAAGTACAATTTCATTTTGTTTATTATTTTGTAAAACACATGAATTATGTTTCTAAATTTCTATATACATGTATATATATATATATATTAGATATATGTTTATGTGTATTATTTTTATTTATAATTACAATAACAAATTATAATATTTACAGATGGTTGCAATGGATATGTGCGTGTGAAAGATTGGATTTGGAAGCAATGGGTGCAGAATATGCCCATCGTAGTTATCGAGTGTGCCACTTACATTTTGAAGAAAAGTGGTACAATATAAGTAAGACTAGAGCTCATCTTCATCCAGATGCAATACCGACAAAGTTTTTTGAAAGAAAGTAAGTTCTTATAGAGAAACATCATATAAAATGTATATTCTTTTCTACTCTAAATTTTATGTGCTAAACAATATTTGATAATCTACAAATTAGTAATATAATGTTACATATATAATTTACAGTAATGCATCCATTACGACAACATTAGTAAAAAAGAAAATGGATGATGAAATACCTCTAGAAGAGAATATTTGTATTTCGGAACACAATAAAATAAACAGGTGCTTAAATATATTAAAAAAATATAATAGATTTTCTAAAATATATATTTATTTTTCTGTTTCATTAAAGATAGAGTTTTGGTATCGTGATTTACTTTTATTTGTATGTATAATTTCATTATACATATATATTCTAATTAATGAAAAATAATATAACACTAAAATTATACACGTTTCAGTGACTTACAGCCAAAATCATTCTTGCTTCTAGAGCAGATATCAAGATGTGATATTGCTAAACCGTAAGTTTTTTATATTTACATACATACATATTTTTTATCTTCGCAGGATAAGGTCAAATCATATGTTCAGACGCTCAATAGTTTTAAGATTTAGAAAGAGATCTGTTTACCCCGCAAACACAATAAAGTAGTAAGCCTTAAGCTTTAAGGAATTGATCAATCATAGTTGATTATTCTTTTTATATGCGGATGGTTTGAAACACCCTATATAATAAATATATCACGTATTTTTTTGTATATTTTAATTTTGTTATTTTTTACAATTGCAATTATAATACTTTTCCGTTTTAATTTTATCCATGTTTTATTACATATTTCGATATATATTTCGTATAGGAGCACGTCCAGCAGTGTACACTCGATGAGAAGAAAAGAAAGTCCAAGGGAGAAAAAATTGCAGCAACGAATTTCAAAATTAAAAGCAAAAGTAAAAACAATGGACGAGAGAAACAGACGGCTTCGGAAGAAAATAAGAAATTTAACAAAAATAAAGGACAATACAAAACTAGAAAATAAGAAACTTTAAGATCTCAAAAACCTACGTCAATTAGGCTGTAAGTTTTTTCTCCAAATTTTGCACGATTGTTTTCCATCCAAATTGATGCTCACTTTAAAAGCAAACGAGGAAGATAGTATAGTTCTGAATTCAAACAATTCGCTTTATGTTTGTATTTCTTAAGTCCGCGAAGTTATAAAGAACTTAAAAAAGAATTAACATTACCTTCTGTATGCAGTCTACAAACATTTACACAAAAATGGAAAATTAAACCCTAAATGCTAAAATTTTTAATGTATTAAGTGTAAAGTTAAATACATTGCCACCATTAGAACGTCACTGTATTTTGTGCATAGATGAAATGAATCTGAAAAGTCATTTATTTTATAATGTTTCCCAAGACGAAATAATTGGATTCGAAGATACCGGGAATGAGAAACTACCATTACCTGCAAAAAGTGCTTTAGTTATTATGGCACATAGTATTGCAGGTAATTGGAAACTTTCTGTTTGCTTTTGTTTGATCGAAACTGCATGTAAATCTAATATACTCAAACCAATTCTATTTGATGTTATCCGTATGCTACGAGATTGCAATATTATGGTACATGCTTTAATTTCGGACACGGATTCTAACTTTATGCAACTCTCCCGAGAATATTTCTGTACAGAATTCAAAATTTTTAGTTGATGAGCACGAAATACTGTATATATTCGATACTCCTCACTTAATGAAGAGAACTCGCGATAATTTGTTGAAATATGATATAGAATTTGGAAACAAAGTTGCTTCATGGACTCATATTGTTGATTTTTATAACCGAGATAGTAACCAGTGGATCAAAATGGCCCCAAAATTATCTAAAGATCATATTGAGCCAACTAGCTTCCAAAAAATGAAAGTAAAATATGCTGTGCAAGTTTTTAATAATCGCGTTGTTGTAGGTATGTGCACTCAAATGTCCTTCGGTTTTCTTCCAAGCGCAGCAATTGGAACAATAGATTTTATCGACAATTTTAATAAATTATTTGATATTTTAAATTCATCAAGTTTAAATAGCCCAAAGGAATATGAACAAGTATTTACAGGAAGTGAAAAGCAAATACAATTTTTAGAACAAATATTACATTTCTTGAAAAGTATTAATGTTGTCAATGAGAAAGGAACTCGTGTAAAAGTTAAGTGCTTCGAATGTTGGCAAATAACTATTAAAAGCATGATGCAATTTTGGCAAAAATTAAAATGTTACAATTTTCTTCAATTAATTAAGACACGAAGAATTAATCAAGATTGTGTAGAAAATTTTTTTGGTTCCGTTAGAAAACAAAGCAGTAATTGTTGTAAATCCGACACCAATACAATTTACTCGTGCCTTTAAGAAACTGTTTAGTATGAAAATGTTAGAACATTCAGATACGCAAAATTGTGCCGTAGATAATGATCACATGTTAAGTTCGATTGATGAGTCAAATTCGAATTCGTTTACTTCCGAATTTGTTCTATCTACGACGCGTATGACTTTTAAATATTCCGAATCACGATTATTATGACATGAAATTGCCGGAAGAAAATGCCTTTAGATATATTTGCGGATATTTAATTAGAAAGTCTACAGAAATGCATACATGTGAAACGTGTAAAGATTTTGTTAATGAAGATAACACTGTCATAGATAACTGCTTTAAATTGTTCTTTCCGAACTTATAATAATACAGAGGAAAATCCTTTTGGAAATTTACATTTAGCAAATAATAATTTTTGTGCTTATATACATAAATTAGAAGAAATATTTGTGAAAGAATTTGAAAATAATTGCTTAAAAAAAACATTGGTAGTTATTTAGTTCAACATGCACAGAATGTAATTTTTGAACCACCATGTCCACATTTTCCTACGTTTTTAATAAAACTATTTTTCCGTATGCGTATTTATTTCACTTTGTCTCAGCATAATAAGTCAGCAATCTCAGTGCAATAAAGGTATTAGCAGAAAAAAACAGAAAACTTTTAAATATTTTACATTTGTAAGTATTTTTTTTAGTATATATTACTTTATTATCTATACAATCTTATTTTCATACACACATATAATAGCAATTTATATTTCATAAGTTTATTTCGTTTTGTTTGTTATAACAGTTAATGGTAATGGTTATAGCTCATAATCTTTTAATTTCTATTATATACTGTCTGCATGGTTCGATTATAATTAAGATATTTTATAGAATTATATGTATATATATATATATATTAAGTATTAAATATTAAGTTTTTAACTTGAAATATTAAGTTTCTTTTTGTATCGCTCTTTCTTTACTTCATGCCGAGGTGGATCGAGTAGCTGAAGTATGGACTAATGATTGAGTTGGACAGAAGAAATAAATAAAATTTAACATAAACTTCATATATTTATTATTGTATATTTAGTGTACTTTTTACTAATTTTTGTTAATATTTATATTTCTGTTTTAAAATGGACATATGCTTGAAATTGACTTTGTTGTATTATTGATATATATGCATGTACATTATTGTTTGGTATATGATCCATGATTGATCATCTTTTTATTTCTCACTAATCATTATTGCACGTTTCGTATATTTTATAAAATTGTATATACGTTTTATACATTTCATAAAACTGCAATAAAAAATTATTATATTTAAGAGCGAAAAATTATTTAATTGAACATACTGTTTGTATGCTTATTCACATTACATCTAACATTCTTTTATATTTTATGCACTTTTTTATTAATTTTTAAATAATATTTTTATCTTATTCTATTGTTTATTTAATTTGCATATGTATTGCCATTACTAACATTATTAATTTTTATATAAGTTTTTATGTAAGTTTTTCAAATTTTTAATGTTTATATATTTCATAATTTTTTTTGTTTCAGAATTTTACCAACAATTGCCAATCAATCATTGGCTGCGTTTAACAAAGAAAACTGGACAGTTTTGATTAATTATAACTGATTAGTTTTCTCTGTTGAATGCAGCCATTATCAATTAGTTAACGTAATAGGTACGTTTCAGCGGAACACAACAGTTTTGAAACCATTTTTATGATTGTCTGTGTGCTAAGATAGAATCCACCAATCCTCTAGATCTAAAAGTATAATACAATCAGCGCAAAGAAAACTTCCAACATTTACGAAATAAACGCTAAACGCAGTCATTTTTTATTCGTTTTTTAAAATAATATGTGACAGGTTTAATATTGTTGTGATTTGAAATATAGTAAATTGAATTAGTCGAATAATTGGATTTTATCTAACAAATATAAGAAGAAATTAAAAAAATAAATTTAACACGTTTTTTTAACAGTAAAGGAAGAATATTTCAAATTGGAGATTAAGTAATATCGATCAGTTAAAATAAAACGGATTGCTATATTATTATTAGTTCTCTTATTGCGTTTATATTTTGTAATTCTAACTATCATTGCAAATAAAAAAAGGTTAAGTATAAGTACGAATCTCCTTATATTTCCTGAGAAATAAATGTATATCTATCATATTTCATTTTTATTTTATTTTCTGTTTTAAATATAATGTATATTGTGTAGGTCTGTTATTTTTCGAAAGTTCTGAACTTATTGCATCAGTGTATGTACACCAAGTAAGTTTAGAACTTACAATGGAAAAAGAACAAACCTTATGCAATAAAGTAGAAAAAGAGAAAAGATTACAACAGAGAGAAGAAGTGAGATGGAATAGATGGAAATTTTGACCGGTATATATATTCATAGTCGGTTCTTATTTCAAAACCATCTTAAGTAATGTCTTAATACGCTAACGCGGCTCTCTGATTGGTTCATGACACCTCAAGGCTGAACTTAAGACGATCTTGAATATAAGAACTGACTATGAGAATACCGGCTAGAGAGCAACTTAAGACATTGCTGAGATTAAGACCGAACTATGGATTTCGTCCATAGTTTCTAATAAGTTGAAATTTGTTATTTCCTGTTTCTATTGCCTGTGCTTTTCATTGTGTTTTCAGCATTAAGTTTAATTGGAACGCACTCCAGGGAGTATCCCAGTGGTAGTAATCCTGATGGAAAAATGGTTGCAGAAATTATTCCACGTTTTGGAATTTTCAATAAAATTTCATCATTTCAAAAAAATTTCAATTTAATTTCAGCGATTTTTAACTGAAAAATTCATTTTCGACAAAATTTCAGCAAAATTTTCAAATTTCAGCAAAAATTTCAAAGAAATTTCAGCGATTTTTCAGTATGTTAGCTGAAAAATTCACTTTCAATGAAAAGTTTCAGCAAATTTTCAGCAATTTCGCTGAAATGTTCCAAAACGTGGAATAATTTCTGCAAGACTTTTTCACCAGGGAAGGCTGCGTTCGGAAACATCACCCGAGTGCCCCTATGTATCATCTTATCCTTATTTAATATTGGGTGAATAACAAGGATAAAACGATACACGGAGGCGGG